AAAGTTTGGCCCACGGCTCCTAGATTTGATATATTCTTGGTAACAATATGCATTACAGAAGAAGTGAGTGTTTCTCCAGAACCTGCCGGAGCAGACTCACTTATCTTCCTAACTGAAGAAGGATTTTGACGTGACTGACCAACCTCAGAAAATGTGAGACCTTGAGTAAAAGCTTTCTCTTCCTCATCAGAACTCTCTCCATTAAAATGTGAACTCTGGAAATGTATTCCTGCTATATCCTCTTCGTCCGAGTCAGAAAAATCTGGATCAACAGCTCGTTTCGTGCGCTGAGGAGTATCAGATTCCTTCAGTTGCTGTACCGGTGATGAATGTGCCACCGTCGCAAGATCAAATTCACTGACATCCAAGCCATCTGTGCTTCCTTCATCATGAGATGGCATAGCACTTACTCCTGTTGTAAATGAAGTTTGCGTGTTTGAAGAATCTGGTCAAAGAGAGCACTTACTAAAGTAACGCACAGAAATATTTTACTTTCCTACTGCAAAAGTACTGTCCACAGACCACGAGAAAAGCCCTGCGGGGGAAGTCATTTCTGGGGCGGTGCAGGGGGAATGTTTACTATCAAGTGGACTAGAGGGCTGCTATTGGTGGGAAGTGTGATACGTCAGAGTTTTACGCTACTACACAGACTGAAAACATCAAGCCGTTAAGAGTAGCATGTAGTGAGTGCACCTGTACTGTGTTCCGTGGGTGTTGTGATAATATTCTAGATTAAATCGCTGTGCCGCTGTGAGGTAATCTTAAAGCTGTACCCATTAGAACACATGAAAGCCTGTTGTCTGTTGTTCGTTCAGTGGTTGTGGAACGAATGCTTTTAGGATGGGTCGTCACTCACCGCAAAATATTGCGCATGCACGTATATCGAATTCCTAGCAGGGCTTTTTTCTTGGTCTGTGGACTGTAATAGTGCCACTGTCCTAAGGTTTCTCCATCATAAATACTTATCAAGTTGTAGAGTGATGAGTAGGGAAAAACACACTTTTGTTTGCATAAATACAATCATTCATAATTAATTCCTATGTAACTTTCGTCTGCATTAGACACAGAACACAATAGTCCGCCTTACAGAATGAGAACAAACTGTTATCTGCAGACAGGAAAAATCAGTGTTTTTGTGTAGTAAACAAATGTACAGTAAGTCTACTGACATTTCTCTAAAAAAAACTTCTACTAGACTACACGGCGCAACAAACCAGAAATCCATGAAAACTCAAATCTTACTAAATAAATATGAGCTATAGCTCAGTAAGAAAAATGTATCGCTCTAACTTATCAGTATATTTCTTTCGAAGATAATGGTTTAATGAACAAAAAATAATCCTGTATTTGAACCATCAAAGTTTTTAAGCCCTGAAATTCATCACTGAAAAGAATTAAGTGTGCTTAATACAAAATCTGAAAATAAAACTCACCTCCATTGTCTGTATCGACAACAAAATCTTCAGTGCCAGTAAGAGAAGGTTCCTGATCCTCATCTTTGTCAAAATCAACAGGCTCCCCAGCCAGCTGCAATAGGGCAAGGTTCTCTCCTGTTTGCTCTGGGAGGTACTCTTCTACTTCACTATCTGTGTCTGCACAAAACAAATCCCCGTGAAACTCCATGTTCCGTATTTACACCCTTACTTTTGTTTTTTGGTCCTAGATTTATATACAGCAAGTCCAGTGTAATGAAAAAAAAATTGTGTCAGAAATTTACTAGTATGTCATTCCCATTTGCTATTGTTGAAATTTAAGTAAAGGGCGTTCACAAAAAACTGAAATGTCGTCATGTGTACCCCACTTAGGAACTCACATCATAGTTCTTTGCTACATTTCCTGCCAGTTACTATGTTGGTCTGGACTTGCCAAGCTGTTGTGTTAACACATTGTTTGTGTGCATAGTAGGCCTAGTGAAGAATCTGTAAAGAATTTGTTTCAAAAAATGTAAAATAATCACATATTGTTTATATGAGGGGTGTATACAAATGATTTAGACTAACCTGAATTATGTGATCCTTGATGGTGATGGCTCCCAGGTTACACTTCAGCCCATTCCACATATTCTCCCTGGAGGTCGATGCACCCTTGCCATCTCTCTGGCAATTTCCGTATTGCCTCACGAAACCATTGTTTGGGGGTGTCTCGTACCCACTTCCTGACAGCATCATGTAAGGCGTCACTATCGGGGAATCAGTGACCACGCAGGGGATTCTTCATCTCACGGAAGAGGGCATAGTCACTTGGTGCCAGGTGAGGAGAATAGGGCAGGTGTGGGAGCACAGTGCACCTCAGTGAATGCACGTGCAACTGTGTTTAATTGGGTGACAGGCTTTGCATGTGACAACAAAACAGTGAAAAAGGGATCCAGCAGTGGTCGTCCCAGAACATCAAGAACTCCGCAAATGATTCAAAGAATGTCAGAACTGATACCCTGTGTGGTCACCGATTCCCCGATAGTGACGCCTTACATGATGCTGTCAGGGAGTGGGTACGAGACACCCCCAAACAATGGTTTCGTGAGGCAATACGGAAATTGCCAGAGAGATGGCAACGGTGCATCGACCTCAAGGGAGAATATGTGGAATGGGCTGAAGTGTAACCTGGGAGCCATCACCATCAAGGATCACATAATTCAGGTTAATCTAAATCATTTGTATACGCCCCTCGTATTTATTTTTTATAATTCTGAACATGTACATGAGTCACACATGAATCAATGCTGATCTTAAAATTGGTGTAATGACACCAGTAACAGATTTGCTTGCATTCCTCCACTTCAAAAAGTAAAATTATTTTGGGCATGCTAACACCCAAGTTAGTTCTTTGTGTGCAATTTCACGACGGATGAGCTTTATAATCAATGCGTCACACCTTATACCTCTAAATAACAATATACACACAAAAAATTATCTTGAAGATCAAAATTTGCAATTATATAACCATTTCCCTCATCATGAATAACCTCTTTATATACTGAGTTCAAACTAACTCATTCTTTGAAATACCTACATTCAGGATTTTATAACATACACACAAACAAATACCAACCATAAGACATTACAAATTTCCGCAGGTCTCATAACAATAAAATTAAGTACCCTGAAAACGAGGGCAAAGACTGTTCTTGAAACGTTGGTGTTTTCTCCTTTCGACCACCTGACACGGCTGGTAGCCCGAGAGAAATTTATTATAATAAAATTAACATTTTTCTCAAGTTCGGTATTCTTACCTTTGGCTCTTGATTTGAAGAGGATTCGAAGGCCTCTCAGCTTTTCAACAAAAGATGGAGGCAACACATGTATACAGATGCCTGGGCCTATCATAAGTAGCATTACAAGAAAATAAGCTATAAGAGAACCTGGCACTGCACGACCAATCAGAGACAGGCCAACAAAACAGCAACTCATGCCACAGCAAAACTGAAAACGGAACACAAGTTGTCTGAGGTTATTATTTCCCGGGCAATATGCTCAGTTTCTAAGTTCATTCAATTCAAGAAGTTTTCCAGTACGAAAAATCATAGGTTCACAGTTCCATACAAGTCCAAAGGAGTTCAAAACTTTGACCATTATCACATTTACATATCTCATTAGATCTAACATAACATCTGTGGGTCATTTGTAAAAAAAAATATCCTTTTTGCTCCTACGTGAAGCGTAGGACATCCTTTTGGAGGTTACTTGATGTATTTAGGCTTTTGCTAGGACTCCTTAAACGAGTGATCAGTCCATCGCAAGGCCTCTACCTGCACACAGGACAGCAAAACACAGAATGACACGAACAAACATCCATGCCTTGAGTGGGATTTGAACCCATGGTCCCAGTGTCCAAGCGCACAAGGCCTACGACTCAGACCGCGCGGCCACTATGACCGGCCCTGTGGCAAACAAATTGCTACTCCCAATGATATCAAACCATTTGCAATTAAAACACAATTTCCACCATTAAATCTGCAACAACTTCATCACTTGCCTTACAACAAAAAATATGATTTTCTTTATTTGTAATAAGCAGAATATTTTCCAACGAACTCTAAAATTTTACTTACCACGCCAGGTTGGTCACCTCTAAGTGTTTTCAGCCACATACAATAATCTTTCAGAAGCATGTGAGTTTCACTAATGTAATGACTGATTTCAGGTACACTTAAAACACTGAAACGAATAAAATATCCATTAATAAAACCATAGTACATATCTACAAAACAAGCAAAACAAAAAAATCACCTAAACTAGCCTTAGACAATTCATAACCAAACCAACCCCTCAAAAATCTAACAAACAATGCTTTTACAACACTTGGGAATCATACCGCTATGACAGCACAGTTAGCTTGCAATTACAGGGAACAATCTTATAAATACAGAGAATCCAAGTTGTCATGCAAGTAAAAGTTTAGATTTAACTCCTGGGTTGTGACATTGCACAATCATGTAGGTAACCGCCACGGTGGTCTAGCGGTTAGAACGCTGGGTTTGTAATACTGGGGTCCCGGGTTCGATTTCCAGCAGTGCTCAAATTTACAACTTGTGTTGGGCAAGGCTGTGGTCCAGGCATCACGGAGTTTTCCTCCGGGGTTTCCCCGGTTTCTCCGTGGCATCCCAACAACTACTCCACTTTCAGCATCATCTCGCAAAAAGGTGGTCACAGCAGGAGCGTTAAATGTGGTGGTCCTGGTCGACCCAGGTACTGATGGGTCGTGAATCCTGCTAACCACCAATGCACACCATGCTGAATGCAGTGTACTGGATACGGAAAAAAAAATCATGTAGGTGATAACAAATGGTTTGGCGGCACCTGCTACCTCCACCTTTAGGATAGAAGTGAGCAAAAACCTACATATCAGGTCTACTTACTTCTACCCTAAACATGGATGCAGCAGGTTCTTCCAAACTGCTAGCTATCACCTACTTGACTGCGTGGTGTTGAAATACAGAAGACTGCAATTTAGAAGAGCAAATTTTTGTGGTCACAACATGTAATTTTAAAAGAATACCATGTGCTATGTAAGTAGCAGATTTTTAACACATATTACAGCATATTCTAGGTCCTTGGCTTGTACTATGACGGATGTACAGAATGTAAATAAATTATAATTACAATGCTATAATTCCAAAATGATATGGTTCTTTTATGGAGCAAGTAGCAGGTTCACAGGTCTCTTTAAGTAGTTAAAAACATTAACAGTAAAATTAGTTTTGTCTAGGCCGTTTATCTGCAAGTAATAGCACATAGGGATGAAGCCTCAACATTAAACTCTGTCAAGCTGTTTTGATTATTGATTAATTGAGTTCATTTTATGGATATTTTAATTAATTGTCTAGATGCACTTTCCTGTACATATTCTGTCAAAACTTTATATATGGTACTTATATGAATGATGCCATGTGTTAAGTTACACTCATTACAATTAATTATCTGACACAAATTGCTAACGGGCATATGTCAAAATGTATTTCTTCTTTATTACACTGCCTCCTTTACAGGAGGTTGGCGACATATTATGAACAGGATCCTTCCAGACTGGGACCTGTTCATATACGTTCTTGCCAGATGATCCAGAAGTGGTTTGCCATTGCCTTCTTCTGTGTGTGAATGGAGTAATTGTTGGGATGCCACGGAGAAACCGGGGACGCCCTGGAGGAAAACTCTGTGTTGCCTAGACCAATGGTATTCAAACTTTTTTGTTCGCGTACCCCCCAGATATAATTTCTCTTCAACTTTGTACCCCAAAAGTTGTTGGTGTATAATTCAAGTTATACATAGTATATAATCTACATCTAAAATAAATTAAATAAATTACATTACTGATTATTCAGTGTTTATCATAAAATAATATTTTTTTTTAAATTTCAGGTAGCCCCTAAGATGTCTTCGCGTACCCCCCGGGGGTACGCGTACCCCAGGTTGAATACCACTGGCCTAGACCACGGCCTTGCCCAACACAAGTTATAAATTCGGGCACCGCTGGGAATCGAACCCAGGACCTCAGGATTATAAGGTCAGCGTTCTAACCGCTAGACCATTAAAAAATATGCTGAATAAAAGTTGCAGAGATTCATAACACATGCATGTTATATCTTGCATAAAGTACACTAATTTTAAGAAAAACACTAGCTGATGTCTTTTCCCACTATTTATGATTTTTCAGCTACGCAGGTTTCCTGTTTTAAGATATTATAAAGGGATTTGTTGAACCTGAGGAAAACCACCAAAATCATTAGTCAGTATATCCAGTTTCCATGTTAATAATTGAACTTTGAACCTCCCTAATAGGACAGAGTGATAACCATTTCACCATGACACTGGTGAGAATAAGATTAGTTTTTAACATTAACTATCTCTTTTATACGACCAAACTTACTGTTCAAGATCATGTAGCAAATGTCTAGCCAAGTTTCATACACATAAAGACCAGTCAAATTCTATGCTTAAATCACACACACATCTTCAATGTCATCCCTCCTCCCCTCAACTGATGTATTTGTCACTTTTCTCTTCCACCTCAAAATACTAACAACAGCTGCCTAAAGCAGTAAGTTCTGTATAAGAACTACTCGGTATTCACAACTGTGACCTTGTTCAGCTTGGCAGTAAAATGACATACAGAACCAAAGAACTACAACACTTTTATAAAACATCGGTCATGGAGAAAATATCATTGGAAGTTTAGACAGATTTATTGTGAAGCATAACGAAGAAACAAAGTAGAAAGTTTCACACAAAAGGCTTGATCCTAAACAAAAATAAGACATGAAAATGGCACTTCTTATCAAAAATACATAGTACAACAGCGGTGCTAATTAGAAGCAAACTCCAAAGGTTCAGTGGCCTATTACGCCAGTTCACAACCTACTGCCTCCAGTTAACATGCATAAATAAAAGAAATCAACAAAAGAGGTTAGAAAATAACATAGTTCACACAGCAGTTAGCGACCTGCCTCCCTCACTGAAAGCCCGCAGTATGAAACTTGGTCAAGAGATTGGCTGTTCTGACTGATGCACAGTTTTCCTCAGTCAGACAAATGCATGGATAGCACCCTAAATATGTCATGAAATCCTTCTTTCACATCCTTTTCAACTGTTGTCTCACCACAATCATCCGGACATTGTTCATGTCACACAACATAACCTACGTGTTAACACAGTAACTTGAAATACACAATGAAATTAACTTAAGAAGAGAATGAAGAATATATTTTGCAATCACAAGTCAGTACGTACTTGCTATTATTCTCAAATATCTCCTCAGTCAGTAAGGGAACATCTCTATTCCACAAAACAATGATAAAAGTGTAGTTTGTGTTCACTTGGCTACATGTATCTGCCAATGATTAAAGACAGACAGTGTATGTTATCATGCATACACATGAGTGTTCATGCAGGCATGCTGAAGTGTGAATAAAGCCAAGGGGTAATTGCTAATGGAAAAATATTCATTGTATGTTACAGTGAATTACAAAACACAAAAGGATATGGAATGAATTACAACTGTTACCTAGGATGAACAGGTGTCCAGTCACCTGTACTTTGGCTTCCATCTGCTGCTGGCACTGCAATTTCTGGCCAAATTCGCTCTGTCCACACATCATACAGAAATCCAATGAGAATCATCCAAAAAACAAAGCCATAGAATCGGCATTCGAAGTTAATTGCTAACCTAAAAAAAGAAAACAATGGTATACTGAGTACAGCCAAAACAAAATGTTAATAACCAAATTATTCCTAAGCAATACACAATTGTACTTACCAAAATAGAAGATTGACGACAAAAACACAAAGTACACTAATGTGTGGTTTTTCCCATATCAAAATTCTTTGTAATTTTATAACATACGGTTCAAAACGTCCCAGAGCTCGAATAAGATGTTGTTCTCCAGTTACAACATTCACAGCTGTTTGCTCTCCTCTTAACTTCCAATGCAAAACTCGCGAAAACCAATCTGTCATTCGTCCAGCCATGGTTATTCTTTTTAACGAGTACTTCAATGTCCTGTTGGCTCTTCACTCACTGTATTTATTACTACCTAAATAATTACGCTGAAACGCCAAAGTCGGAGATCGCAAAATAGTTCCTTCAACCTTTACATTTTACGCGTTATTTTTATCGATAATTATATACACGATTTTAGCACAGCGCAAGCCAGGACTGCCAACTGATTGACCTTGCAAACATGACAAGACACAAATCTCCCTACACAAAAGAAATTTAGAGAGCGCGACTGTGTCAAATATGCAAGTAATAATATAATTACGTCGTTGGCAAATTGTAAAGCCATTAAGGATGGGTCACACAAAAATCTGTATCATAGTCTTGCCCCTGACGTTCTAAGCACGACTGCAGAAATAGGAAAAAAAATACTAAAAACGACACAGAGCTCAAGAAAAATTGAAGTACTTTTCTCATGCTGCGTAAAATTCCTTTACCGTTCTATAAAATATGGCACTATAGGCACAGAATTCATCAAACATGGCTCTTGTATTTAGACATACATATTAAGGTTTTATTAGGAAAATAACGGCTTTGTATGAAGTTATAACGTCTCGGCAGCCAGCTAAGTAAACCACTGAAGAGTCTGTCTTCTGCCTTCTGTTGCGCCGGGTATCGTTTACAGACGTTTCAGAGGTGTAGGATTTAAGGTTTTCACGGCGGTGAGTCTGAAGATGGCTGTCTTCTGGGCTGTTGCACCATGAAGTCTGGTAGATGTTTAACAACGTTTCGGAGGTCCTTGCTGCCTCCAACAATAGGGCAAGCCCTGATGACGGAAGTTGGAAACAACGCTGAAACGTCGGGAAACTACTACCAGACTATATGTTTAATAACCCAGCAGACTTCCATGTTGATTTAGAGTGAAGAGTGCTCTGAACAGAGAACATATTTTTCTGAAAAGTAATGCATGAAAGAAGATTACTCCATATGAGTTCACTTCAGTCTTCAAGAATGCTTGCAACAGTCACACCCATTGAAAAGCTTCCAAGAATTTTTAGGATAGTAGTGTCTGGCCTTTGAACCCAAACACTTCCTCTGACGAAGATGACTTGGCCTAAAATAATTCACTAGGTATGGGAGTAAGTTCAGTACTTCTTCCTGTTCAAGAAATGTTCAATAATAATCATGAAAAATGGCTGATGCATCCATGACAGACACTCCATCAAGGTCATCATCTAATTAACATCTCAGTGAAAGTAACAAACAAATCACCAATGTGGCAAACGTAGTAGCTATTTCTTCAGTACCAAAATCGTCTGAAACATCACATCTTAACAAACATTTCAGCAGATATCTGATCCAAAGAAAGAAAGAAATGTTAGCGGTTCAAAACCAGTGATTATTAGACGACCAAGCACAGCAGAGACTGAAAAACACAGATAAGCAAAGTAATCAAACAAGAGGCCAAAATACTCAGAGAGACAAAAGAGACGTGTGAGTAGATTAACTTGTGAGTCTTTTGTCAGATGAAGTCTAGGTGCACAAAGTTCATGATCAACACAATCTTAAGGAATACCTTTTCAAAAAGGACACATTATGAGTTGAAATTTGTAAAACATTTTTAAGATTTGTGAAATTCACAGATTCCAGTAATTTGTCTATAAGGCCCTTAGGGAAGGCGAGACTTTTTATTCCAGTAGGAAATAAAAATTTCCCGCGCCGTTGCCGCGCGGTCTGAGGCATCATGCTTTAGACCGGATATTTCAGTTATCATTGTTACATTCTTGTAATTATATCTGGCACTGGTGTTGTATGTATAAATTTCCCGTAACACTGTAATTCAAATTGCTTGTTAATTTCATTAAACATTAAAATCTTCGTCATATATCATTTCTATTACATAAATTAAATTATTTTCATAAAAACATTTAAAAATTGCATTAAATGTCTTCAGTTACAGTATACTGTTATTTTTCATTAATTTATAAACATTACTCCCACCACTTTTATTTATACACTTATATTAATGAATTTGTAAATATATCGTCTATCAATATTAATTTTAGCTAGAGTGTAGCATATTTTGAAAAAGAAAAAACTATGAAGCTCGTGTTCAATGAAAATCTTATTTCAGCATTTACGTCTTCCTTCATTTCCTTTTATTGTTTATATATTTTACAGCCTTTTTTCTGCTAGTGTTACTAATTTTTACATTCCATATATTCTACGTGGAGATGAACTATGAGTACCAATGTATATGACCTCGCCATTATGCATTCATCTACGCACAAAGGCAAACATGAACCAATGGTAAAGACAATGTACGACGCTGGCACTATATTTAGCACGAGTTAACGTTCTGGCAAACTGCGGTAATGACACCACTCATATTGGAAACATGCCCAAATGGCACAACTTATGACTGTTTGAGGACTGGCGCTGTAAATATAAAACTTCATTTCTAACGTAAATAATACTAATGTCATACGCCTATTCAAAGAATATAACAATTCTGATGGAAATTCTTTCACGTCAGGATGTGAACTGAAAGTGAACGAGTGGACGATCAATATCAACATTCTACATCGTACACGATACAGGTGATGATATGAGGGAGGGGACATTGGACGACCGAACTGCCGAGAGAGGGATTTGAAACAGGAATGTAAAGAACGAACACAGTAACAACCTTGTATCCTTGTAAATTTATTAACCACAAACCCCTGGTTTTTAACCTCATTCATTTGTCACATCTACGCTGAAGGCTTCAGGCGTGTGAAGCCGCGTTCACACTTGTAACAGAATGTCGTAACGTAACGGCGTCGCGTAACTTCAATGCGTTTGTGTGCACGCTCTGATGTTCGCGTCGAGATTACAGGGTCCCGTCCACACCGACACATTGAAGTCACGCGATGCCATTACGGTAAGACGTTCTGGATACACGTAACTTAGAATTATCAATGCCGTAGTGGCTTCTACATGTACTACGACTATCTTTGTCCGA